AATTCTGGTCAATACTGACAAGACTCAAGCAATTTTTTTCAGGAGGAAGCGTAAAAGCATCTTTCTCCCAACAGTCGCAGATAGATTAAATAGAAGGTTTAACGATCGCGTGAGCATTCCACGTACTCATATTAATGAATTAATTAATTTACTGTTGTAAAATATATTCTTAGTTATAAAGTAGAAATAAGTAGGTTAAGACAATATTCTTCAAGAGTTTTTTGTAATTTTTTTTCCTACAAGAACTATATTATTAATAGTAACATATCATAACTCATTGTCAAATAATTTTTAAGTAGAAAAGGCAAAATCGCCTGTACTCACTGTAAATACATATATTATAAGAAGAAGTGAAATAAATTTGAATTTGAATATTGAGTTTCCAAGGGGCAGTAGACTACTGTTTTCCTACTCACTGAACAAAAGTAATAAATAATTTGAATTATACTCAAGTGAAGAAAAGCAACCAGCTATCATGTTTGCAGGGTAAATTCTCCCTTATCATTGCATAAATTATATGCCAAAAATATTGGTACAATCGAGATATGCAATGATAACAACTCTTGCAACTCAAATGAATTGCATAAAGAGAAAGTGGGTTTCTTCAATGTTGTTAATATTATCGGAAATCGAACAACACAGTAGATTACTAATTTCATTTCCATATTTTTATATTGACATGTTATCTCAAGAATGCTAGAAATAAGATTGCGCAATGACGAGTTCAAATTTGGTTCGTTCTGCGCATCTACGTCACGGTTGACCAACAATCAATCAGCTGATTTTCAGTTGTTTGTTTTTCTTTGTAATAAGAAGCAATTTTGTTTTGCAGGCATACAATAACATGAATATCATCAAAAGTTAACATCAATATAAGTGAACATTTTATAGTGAACATTTACCTAGCCTGCCAACCATGAGCGCGTAAAAAACCAGATAATCAGTGGGTAAGCAGCGGGTAAACGTGGGGGTAAACACATAGAGTGTGCCTTAAGCCGCGTGAAGATTCTATCCTCACACGTTCGTATACATGTGACCATACATATTTGTTGCGCTCATTCAGCAGTGTCATATAAAAAAGTATATCTGTCCTGCTCTAATATCCCCAATGGACGGCTGATGCAGGGTTGCATTTTTTAATTCCTATTTTAAAATTTTCTTAAAATTTAAAACTAAACTTTTTAATTTTTTAAATTTTTATTTTATTATTTCTAATAAATATTTACATAAAATTTACATAATTTAAAAAAATAATTTCATCTGAGTAGATAATTTCGTCTATCTTGGAACCAGCGTAAACACC